AAACAAATACTCATAAACTTAGAGGATTCTGATTTCTAATAAAAGCAATCGAAAAGAATTGGTTTTACAATAGGATTTTTCATATCTAAATTTAATTAAAAATAAATAAATTTGGAATATCATTAGTTTAAATAAGTGCAGAAAGAATTTATATAAAGACTTTCACAGTAGATGGAAGAATCATAGATCCTTTTTTACTTTATTTGTTACTCATTTTCTTTTCAAAGGAAAGAGTGCTACAAAAATCATCTGCATCATGTTGCCAAAATTAACACAAAACATATCAAACACACAAAGTTTACTGAGTTCACCTAAATTTAGAGTTATGTCCACGAGTACAAGATTTCACTATATTCATATAACGGTCAAAGAGTAAATAGAATTGAGAATGAATAAATACATTCACATTAGGGCAACATAACAAGTGTGGAATATAATTCGGATGGTATTATAAGTTCTCCTCTCCTTACAGAAAGGTTGAATATTTGAGCCACGGTGAGGGCATTTTATATATATATATATATAGTGGGTATGTATTTATTAGAACTTTTAACAAAAATGCAAAATATATACTAAAACACCTCCCAAAAATTCGAGATCCATAAAAAAAATAATCAAGATCATGCATGTCATATTCCTAATTTAATTATCTTCATCCTCCCACATTTCAACTAGGAGGATCCCTCTAAGGAATCATCTTAGTGATTTCCCACACACGACTTTAATAAGTGGTCAGATTCAAAATGTTTGAAAGTTTTGATCAATGGAAAAGAACAAATTGACATAAAGATATGCACTGAAGCAAGCAATTTTTTTTTTTTTTTTTTTTTTTAAATGTTTACCAGTTTTGTAGGGTACAAAAATTTTGTGTTAGAAAAGAAACGTAAGTCAATGGCAAGCACGTTCACCTGTACCTTTCATCACCATCTTCCCCATTAACTATTTTACCTCTATATATAGAGAGAAGTAACACAGAGAGAGAAGTAACACACACACACACACAAACACGTATGATTATGTGATTTAAAGTAACACACACACACAAACACAAAGAGAGAAGTAACGCACACACACACCCAAACACACAGAGAGAGAAGTATAACAAACACACAGAAGAAATGCGATTAATTATGAAGATCTTGATCTTATTTGGCTTATTAATATTTGATGGGCTTATCCTCCATTGCCAAGCTTTGGTTCGTCGCACTTTTGTAGTAAGTATGATGATATCATTAATTTGTTCACATCAATTATTGAACTGAATGGCTGATGATCACTTAGTCTTGTGGTTTTAATTATTCGAAACATTTCTCATGAAGAATAACACACTGTTTTTTTTGCATAAATATCAATGTTAAGGTGCATCATGCTTATTTTTTATCTAATACTCCATATTCTATACCCGTGCATGTATATAAATATATTGTAGCACGTACATATTAAATTGATGGCTTAATATGTAAGAATATTGTAAAGAATAATATTGGATAATTACAATGATATTCTTTTTAGAGGTTTAAGTAAATTACATATAGGTAGAGCGTTTGACTATTATTACTTTGACCTCTCTTCAAATTTGGCGCTCATTCTCAACGATATTCTCTATCGTTGATAAAATTTAAAAAATGACTATGTTGTCATTTTCTTATGTTAAAAGATCTTAATAACCTTATATTTTGACATGAATTGTCATTGAAATACAAAGTATCAATTTTCATACTAATTTCATATTATTATATTTTACAATTTTTTTTTTTTTTTTGTTAATAACATTTGATTTTTTTTTTTATATGGTTTGACTAGGTTTATTTTTTTGAGGAAAAAATATAAGTAGAGTAGTATAATGGTTAAAAGAAGGGGAAAAAACTAATAGAGTATTTTTATTTGACAGAATTTTTTACTAAATTAGATAAGGGTATGAACGACATTTAATATTTTTAGGGAGGTTAAAGTAACAATGGTCAAACACTCTATCCACGTGTAATTTACACAATCCTTAGGAAAGGTCAGTGTAATTTATCCAACAATAATTGGAGGAACGTCCAACAAATTAATGATGTGACATAATCATATACAATGGCACCGGTTCATTTTTTCTCGATAAATAACATGTTCATTTTGAATTTAAAATATAAGAGAATCAAAATTGTAATTTTATTTATTTAATTTTTAATATGTATTTTAAATTTGGGATTATTACATATAAATGGTGCTAATGACCCATATTTACCATTTAATGGGGTCAAAATCTCATAGTTTTGAAAAAATGAAGATATGAAAAAACACTGTTTACCCTCACTGATATATCACTTTTAGGCACATAAGTACCACTTTTTGTTATTAGATACCACTTTTTGCGTTGCACAAAAAAATGGTACTTGATGCACAAAAAGTGGTACCTCTATACCCAAAATAAAAGTAGTACCTAATACACAAAAAGTGGTACCTGTATGCACAAAAAGTAGTATCTATGTGCCTAAAAGTGGTACCTCGTTGAAGATAAACAGAGTTTTTCCATATCCATGTCAGCATTTTGGTCAACTTTATTTTTTCGAAACTATGAGATGTCTTTGACTCTATTAAATAGTAAATATAGATCATTAGTACCATTTATATATAATAATTTCTAAATTTTTAATATGAACACAATGTCATTCTGTCATTGTCATATGTTGTCATTGTGTTATTATCATTAGCAAAGAGACAAGGATTGTTGGTTTTAAATTTGAAAAAAAAAAAAAAAAATTGTTATTTTGTAAATGTCAAAGCTGGCAACTTGCTATTTTATGATCATGACTCGTGAGGAGGGCATTGATCAAAAATTGGGATTAGAAAAATACTACAAACAATTCAGGAAGACACTGAGATAAACTTAGTACTCCGTCCCACAATACATGTCCTGCACGAAAAATTTAACTTTTTATGATAGTGGAGTTTTAATAATTTTTTATTATATTGATAAGAATAAAGTCTCAAATATATCTTTACTAAAAGACAAAATAGTACTCCGTAATTAGTGCAGTTATTTAGTTAAAAGGATAATTTGAAAATTTTATACAAAATATTACATTCAATTTTGGAATAGGACATATTTTTTAGAACATCCCAAAATGGAAAGATAAACAATTATTTTGGGACGGAAGGAGGGAATAATAAAAATTAACAATAGTTAATATATATATATATATATATATGAATTCTCATTCTACATTACACGGAATGACTTGAAAATTCAGAAAAATAGAGCATGAGAACTATCCCTATATTCAAAAATAATAAGTAAATAAAATAAAATTTGTTTCTATCGACATCTACAAAAATTAAAATTTATTTATTTCATTCAAGGTGAAAGAAGCTCCATATACAAGACTTTGCAGCACCAAGAACATCTTGACAGTGAATGGAAAATTTCCCGGGCCAACTCTATACGTTCACAAAGGAGATACAATAGTGGTCGACGTACATAATAAGGGCAAACAAAACATCACAATTCATTGGTATATATATATATGATCCAGTTTCTTTTTCTTTTTTTCTCTTCTTTTCAGTTTTGCCATTATATATATATATATATAACAAATAAGTATATATAATTTGAAGGCACGGAGTGAAACAGCCAAAGTATCCATGGTCAGATGGTCCTGAATATATCACACAGTGCCCTATTCAACCAGGAGCAAAATTTAGCCAAAAGATCGTATTTTCCACAGAGGAAGGAACTCTATGGTGGCATGCTCACAGTGATTGGTCACGTGCCACTGTCCATGGTGCTATCCTTGTCTATCCCAAGCTTGGAATTGGCTACCCTTACCCTAAGCCTCATTCAGAAGTGCCCATAATTTTAGGTATACACATATTATTCTCGTATCATATATATAAATATATATGTGTGTGCATATACAATAAATACTCATCATATATTTTCTTTTTTCTGAAAGGTAAATTTACTCATCGTTTTCCTTATTTATATATATGTGTGTGTGTGCGTGCGCGCAAGAGTGATGTTGGTTTGAGTCCACAAAGTTTTTGAGATCCTCACTAATGGTGTAATTAGGGCTACAATCCGGATTGATTGGAGATACAATTCAGGTTCAACCTTTCAACCTGACATATGAAATGTTCAATTCTGACTCAAATCCAATCTATTCTTGAATTTTTAAACTCGGGTTTATTGCTCGAGTAGAGATTTCAGGTTAGAGAGTTGGATTAATTTGGATTATCCATTTGGCCAATCCCACATTAAAATTAAAATTTTAAAGTGATCATTAGTTAGAAAATTAACTCTCAAATTGTTAACATACACAAAATTAAGATTTAAACAAAAAAGTTGAAAAGAAAAAACTAATCATAATTTGAATATTATATAAAATATATTTAAAATTATATATATATATATATATATATATATATATATATATAAAATTTTAGAATTCAGGTTCGGATTGGATTTGGATTATTAGCACATCAACCTAAGCCCAATCCTATATAAGTTCGGGTTGAGATTTTTCAACTCAAACCCAATTCTAATTATAAAAATAGTTATCCAAAGTAGTAAAAAAATGAGTTGGTTGGAATTGACCTGTCCAAATTGCACCCCTGGGTGCAATGTGCATTATTCGGCCCAAGTAGTTTTATTCTTTCTGGTATTATTCCAAGAGGAATCAAAATACTCAAACTATTGGGGTCAACAAGGAAAAAAAAAAACTATTGGGGGTAACCAGATTCAGAAAATAGCCGTTGGAAGGGTCGTACGCTTCGATCTCTTGGGCTGACTTATTGGATTTATGGGATTGGACTTCAATGTTTGTTTATGGGTTGGGCCAATCCTTGTTGTCTTCCCCTAGTTCAAACTGGCCTTCCCACTTGGTGGGCAACTATACATTTAAATAATTTAGAATACTTGCTTAATTTTTTGGAAAAATAATAATAATCAATTTCTATTAAATGGTTGCAAAAAAGTTTCTATTAAATGGGAGGGCTACATTATTGATAATCCTGAGATGCCCAATTTTAAGGTGCCAATTAGTATTGGTATTTTGGTAAATTTGCAACATCAAGATGATGAATTAAATGTTTTTTTTTTTTTTTTTGGGTAAATAATTTAATGAAGATATTTGATGGTAGTGAAAAATAATTATACTTGAATGCAGGGGAGTGGTGGAAGGAAGATATAGTGGAGGTTGAAAATGATTTTCTTGAGAACGGAGGAGACCCAGTTGTGTCTGATGCTCTCACTATAAATGGTCAACCTGGTGATCTCTATCCATGCTCGAAATCAGGTGCTTATTAATTAACCAACCACTTTTTTATTTTTTTTCTAATTAATTTATACTGTTATATTTCTTCATTTTATTTTTGGCTTCATTATACTGTTGTTGAATAGAACATGGTAGACATGCACGCGGTTACTAGTTACCACTAAAGCAAACAAAATCAACATTACTCGGTAGCCTAGTGTTATAAGTGAGATTTGTCCTATATCAAATTCAGATTGGGAAAGTAAATGGGTATATATATCGGTTGGTTGTTAGTCTCATCTAATAGCTTAAATTTTTGGATCGAATCGCGAATCACTCAGTCCGCTACAGTTGGTATCAAGGTCAAACTCATTCCTTGATCAAGTGTCATGCCAAATACTATGTCCGGAAGGGTCTAAGTTAGTAGCTCGGGTAGGCAGGGTGGCACAACCGTAACAAAAACGTTATGAGTTCAGGTGAGAGAGAATGTTACAATTGCATCGGACTTGGCTGGAAGGGGTTCGGGCTCCACTTTTAACTAATTAAAATTAAATATGGGACACATGAAATATGAACATTGACATTAAATTTGAAAACTACAAGTTCCATTACAAATGGAACATGATTTTAAAAATAAGCGTGTACATTTCTATAAATAGGTAATATATATATATATGTTCGCTTCATTGTAAGTGACATTATATTATTATTATTCAAAACATGTAAAACAAACAATTTTAACTTCTTGACCTTCCACTTAATCTACATATTTGCAGGTACATTCAAGTTAACGGTGGAACATGGCAAAACCTATTTACTCCGCATGATCAACGCAGGCATGAGCGACATTTTCTTCTTCTCAGTCGCAAAACATCACCTCATAGTCGTCGGAACGGATGGAAGCTACACCAAGCCATTCAAAGTTGACTATGTCGCGATATCTCCCGGACAAACCCTAGATGTCTTGCTAGAAGCTAACCAACGTCCCGACCACTATTACATAGCCACTAGGGTTTATTCGAGTGCCATTGGCGTTGACTATGACAACACAACCGGGACAGCCATTGTCTGCTACAAAGGAAAGTATGCTCCATCTTCATCTCCTTCCTTACCCAATCTTCCAGACTATAATGACACAAATGCGTCGGCTAATTTCACCGGTAGGTTAAGAAGTTTAGCTAGTGAAGACCACCCCATCAATGTCCCATTAAACATGACCACCAAGCTCATTTTCACAGTCTCGGTCAATGCCTTACCATGTGAAAATAATTTGTGTGCCGGACCATATGGTACTAGGCTCTCCGCGAGTGTGAACAACATAAGCTTTGTGTCTCCATCAATTGACATACTTCAAGCTTACTATAATCACATCAATGGTGTGTACGGAGATCAGTTTCCTAATTTCCCGCCATTGGTATTCGATTTTACCGCGGAATATCTTCCTTTCGAGCTGCAGTTGCCGAAAAAGGACACTGAAGTGAAAGTACTTGAATATAACTCCACGGTTGAGCTTGTCTACCAAAACACAAACTTGGTTGCAGGGACAGACCACCCCATGCATTTGCATGGATACAATTTCTACGTGGTGGGGTGGGGATTTGGTAATTTCGACAAAGATAAGGATCCTTTGAGGTATAATCTCGTCGATCCCCCATTGCAGAACACCATTGCAGTCCCCAAGAATGGATGGGCAGCCATTAGATTCAAGGCAAACAACCCTGGTATGTGTGCCATGACATCTGCAAAACTTAATAATGGTTTTTTTTTTTTTTTTTTTTTTTAAAGTACTGTCAATTATAAATCTATATATCCACTTTAAGAGCTTAAGTTGATTGAGAAAATGTATGTTTTGTTTCAGGAGTGTGGTTCATGCATTGTCATGTTGACCGTCACCAAAGTTGGGGGATGGAGATGGCATTCATCGTGAAAAATGGCAAGCGCCGAGAAGAAAAAATGTTACCTCCACCTCCTTACATGCCGCCATGTTGATACTTCTAACAAAGTCATTGTCGTGATTTTGTTTATATACGTGTGCAATAATCATGTTTTTTTTTTTTTATTTTAGGAAAAATAAGATTTTTCAATGAGATACAACAATTGTCCGAACAAATGGACAAGAATCTTCATTGGGGGAGAATTTCTAAAAACTTGTCAAATTCTCCAACAAGTGTTTTATGTAATTTTGAAACATCATGCAAATCACAGAACGCTAGACAATTCTTCTCTCACATACGTCTCTTCGTTCAATTCTCTCTTATCTTCGTTCAATTCTCTCTTATAATTACTAATTATTTGATGTCTAGGAAGAATGAATAAATTAAGAACAATGATCCTCAACATGAAACAAAGAATCGAAATGACTGAATGAGGATCTGCAACACATAACTTTGGTCACAAATTCATGATTTTTCGCAGCTGTTAACCTTTAGTGTAGAATTTTTTTTGTCACTGGTTCATCCTTATATAGCCGTCACACTAATGGTTTACAGTCTTCACGTATCGGTCGATTTGTAACTCCTTTTTAATTGTCCGGTACCGTTACACACTTCCATGAACCAATCGATTAAGTCAGTTTACACCGATATTCACGAGAGTCCGTTACACCGACAGTGGTGACGAGACCAATAAATAAATAAAATTCGTTGCTAAATCTCCATACAATATTATTTACTCACTTTCAATATTTTGAAATCTAACTAGCAACGACAGTTCCGTTAGTTGCTAAATACTACTAACCCACCACAATAACAGCATTTGCAACAGAATTTTGTCTCGAAATGTTTTCTTTAAAAATATATATTATACTCATTGAATTCCGACATTCAATTAAACTCATTTCAAAAAAAAATTAAACATCAATTTTCACTACAAAATTACTATAATACAATTTAAGTTCAAATTATACTATTCAATTTTTTTATTACACATACTTAGAAAAAAATATATATATTCCATTACATATTCCATTTCAATTGCCAAACAGAAAAATTCAAACTAACATGAAAAAAGTGCTCTCATTCTTTCACGCAGAGAAAAGCCACAAAAGTAATCGTATTGTCAATCACCTTCAGAGCTACCTTCTATAGTTCCTTCAACTAATAGCATCTTTGAGTTTCACATGATATCTTCTGTATTCCTTCACTGAAATCACCTTCGTGCGGACTTTAATTTTGCTGATGTCGTTTGCTATGATTGATCGGGACCATATTTGAGATGGTGGTCCCAGAACTAGACAATGCACAGCAGATGATCCAGATTCCATAATCAAATCAAGTGGCAAAAAATCCATATTTAATTCCCAACCTCGACAGGATCGAAACCTTTCTCAATGGATGCCTTGACTGCATTCAGAACCATTTGTGTCTTCTTACTCAGAGCAGGCCACTTCTTCTCAGGTGTCATGACAATGTGCATGCTTGGCACTGGTACCCAACCAGTCCCGAGTTCCTTGAACCCAGATTCGGAAGCAAAAGAAAATGAAGCCATGTTCTCTTTAAAAGGGATAACAAAGTCGTTGAGATGCAAATTCCCTTTGTTCCAATAGCGGTGACATCCATGGTCAAGTGGGAAAGAAAAGAGCAATGGAAGGTTGCTACCTTCCCATCTTCCCAGTATAAAGAAGAGCCACAAGATAGAATTACTCCTGCTTCGTTGAGAACAGGCTCACGCAGAGCTATTACCGATTTAGGTAGTTCAAAGTCAGCTGCCCATAGGATTGACCTGATGGCGTACCACCCAACATCACCAAGAGCACCAAGGCTATCAAGATCTGGCTTCACACGAATGTCATTCTTGAGAAAATCTGGGTCACTAGCAAATGTAAAGCAGCTGTGTACCTGTGGGATTTACAAGAAATCATTTTTCTAGCAGATCACATTAAATACTTGATTGTGTTAAGTGATTAAGAAGATACATATTCAATTTGAAAACACACAATTCATCAACAATAAGGCCACATGACTCATGAATTCAACAAGAAGAAGGCTGCTATTTCAATCGCATGCATCATCAACGTGGAAATAGATGGAATGGATTATCACAATATTATAAAGAAGAAATGATATTATATACACACAAGCCAAACTGTTGAAATGCAAGCATGTATCTCTATCTCATCCACCAAAACTCTCACGCGCTAACCATTTGGGAACCACTGGTAGAAAATAATTTTTCCCACGTAAAGAGTCAATTAATTAAAGGGCCAGTCCAGTGCACGAGACTCCCACCACTGTGAGTTCTAGCACCAACCATTTGGGCACCACCAGTAGAAAATAATCTTTCCCACATAAAGTGTCGATTAATTAAAGGACTAGCCCAGAGCACGAGGCTCCCTCCACTGTGGGTCTAGGGAGGGTCATATGTGCGATATCACCTTCACTAATTACAAAGAATATTCAGATTAAAACCTCCTTGTTTATGATACATGACTATGTAGTAAACTCTATACTCATCTTTCAATGATGCAAACATCACCCATTTCCATGAAACTCATTCCCCCGCCTACCTAGGCAAAGGTTGGCGCAATTTGGAAGAAAAACAAGAATGATTGGTCTTTGTGTGTGTTTGTGTGTGTGTGTGAGAGAGAGAGAGAGGGTGGGAGAAGGAAGGAGGAGGAAGGGTATCAAGAATAGCTTATGCCAAATGAATGGAAGGATATCATTCAATTTCTCACTCCATAGCGGAAAATGCTACTGGTAATTTCAAAAGATTTCCCTTGACTGCTGTTATATATATGTTGGGAAACTCCAAATGAGCTCAATTCAAGTGGGTCAGTCATGCAAAAAGAAGAAAAGCATGCAACAATATGTATGTTAGAGAATCAAGATCAACATCTGTTTCAGGCATCAAAGAGCAGTGGGGTAAGTTAGTTGCAGAAGTCATATCATTAAATAGTTGGCTTATTTTTGCCTATGAACACAACATAGATATCTTTATGGTTGAAAATCCCTCCAACCTTACAAGACCGGTTCTTTGTAGTGTAGCTGAAGAGAAGAACTATAATGAATAAAGTCATCCGAAAGCGATAAACATTTTACAAAAAATAAGATTCAAGTTTTACTCAGTTGTTTCTTGTGATCCACATTAATGCATATAGTTTGAACAGACTTTAAAAAGATATGCAGTCCAGTTTGAGCGCGAGCGCACGTGTGAGAGAGAGAGAGAGAGTCAAGGATCAGTACAGCTATAAGAGCACAATCAGTTCATTATGCTGATGAGAGTGAATGATTAGAATCTGTAAGTATATGCTTTGGAAAGACAAGTGGATACCTCACACTTAATTTTCAGGGAGACTCTCATGGCTCAAGTCTTTGAGAATTCTATAAAGTTGTTTGATCATATTATTTGAATTGATATTATGTCCCATTAAATGCCCTTCTTTGAACGTGTTTAACTCTGGAATTTCCAAGGAACTTCCCTTACAAATCTTGGAAGGAAGTGCCTCTACGGAAACATAGCATCTCGGATGAGCCACCTAGGCTAGGGTGGCAGAGCCTAGGAGAACTGTATGGGATCTTATGAGGTTGGTAATTGAAGCTTAATGATGTTTTGGCTTAGGGATGGTTGGTAATGAAGCTCAGGTTATTTCTTAAATACAACCTTTTCTTACTCCCATACCCTTCCTCAAACACTAGCTTCTCTACCACGGTGCACCTCGGATGCCGCTTTTCCCAACTCCTCAGATATCATTGCTCAATCCCCACTGATGATGAAATTAGACATTGCATGTTCTCCCTTAGTAGTGAGAAGGCCCCTGGACCTGATGGCTTTAATGCCCTATTCTTTAAGAAATCTTGGTCAATCATTGGTCCTGATATCACCACTGCCATTAAACAATTTTTCACTTCTGGTAAGCTTCTCAAGGAAGTCAATTCAACCTACCTCTCCCTTGTTCCAAAAACCTCAAACCCTACAAGCCTTAATGAATTTAGACCTATCTCATGCTGCTCCACAATTTACAAATGTATCTCTTCCCTCCTTGCCAACAAGCTAAAACCAACCTTACCACACCTAATTGGACCTGCCCAATCAGCATTCATTAAGGGAAGGAATATTGAGGACAACATTCTTTTGGCACAGGAGCTCCTTAATGGTCATAGTAGGGCTAATAATTCCCCAAGGTATGCTATTAAGATTGATATCAAAAAAGCATTTGACTCAGTCTATTGGGATTTCCTACTTGATTCCCTAAAATTGTTTGGCTTCCCATCCACATTCTTGAATTGGATCAAAGCTTATGTTACTTCCCCAACTTTTACAATCTCTCTGAATGGGGAGTTCAACGGACATTTCAGAAGTGTCAAGGGGCTGAGACAAGGGGATCCTCTTTCACCCTTCCTCTTTGTTCTTGTAATGCAGGTTTTCTCTTCAGTTCTTACCAAATACATCACTGAAAGAACCTTCAAATACCACTGGAGATGCAAAGAGCTTGCCATCTCCCACCTCATTTTTGCTGATGACTTATTTTTGTTCTCTCATGGAAACCTTGAGTCAGTTAAAACAATGAAGCATGCTATTGATTTATTCACCAATCTTTCTGGCCTCCATATCAATAATGACAAAAGTTAAATCTTCTTCTCTGGTGTTAATGGGCAATTAGAATCCACCATCCTCAACACTCTTGGATTTGATAAAGGGTCCATTCCTGTTAAATACCTTGGGGTTCCTCTACTCATTTCCATGTTTAGTGCAAATGACTGCAGGATCCTCATTGATAAGATCACTACTAGAATTGGGCACTGGACAAGTAAAACCCTTTCATTTGCAAGTAGACTTCAACTTATAAGGGTTATCTTGTACTCCACACAAATGTACTGGAGCTCTAAGTTTATCCTTCTAATGAGTATCATTCAAGAACTTGAAAGTCTCTTTGGTGCATTTCTTTGGTCTGGTCCTTTACCCAAGAGGACTTGTGCTAAAATTACTTGGGATAAGTGTTGCAGGGCAGGGGGTCTAGGCTTGCCTAACCTTCATACATGGAATGAATGTGCAATCATGAAACAATTTTGGCATTTAATTAACTCAAGAGATATGCTTTGGGTGAGGTGGATTCATACATTTCTCTTAAAGGGCAGAAGTGTTTGGGAAGTAAAGGTTCCGAGTCATTGCTCTTGGAGTTGGAGGAGACTACTTGGTCTTAGAGATTCAATCTCTCCTCTTGTCAAACTCGAAATTGGGGATGGTTCCTCATCCAATTTCTGGTTTGACAGGTGGTGTTCTCTAGGTCCTCTTCACCTTCTAGTCTCTCAACAACAGATGCTCAACTCAGGTTTTGATTCTAAAACTAAGGTTAGTTCATTTATCACCCATTCTTCATTGATCTGAAATCTCAATTAGATCGATCGAACTGAACGGGAAAAGTTTTTAAAAATAGAACCTGAGGGTCTCAAGATTGATTCATTAGATCGATCCAACCCTCCAAACCCTTGTCCCTCATTCCTGTCACCACTGTGCACCCATCTTCATCATCTTCTCCGGCGAACCTCCGACGAGATCCAGTGAGGGTTGGCTTCTCTCTTCTCTCAGATTCCATCACCCCCATCGCATCTCATCCACTTCTCTCATATTTTAGGTGAGATCCGAGATCCACTTTGTGATTTAAGCTTTGTATTTTATGTATTTGTACTTTACATGCTAGATCCATGATATTTTGATGATGAAATCCACCATTGATGAAGCTTGAAACATTGTGTATATATGTGTATATATGTGTTTGTAAATATTTGAGTTTTGATTTGTTTTGTGGGAGTATGGGCTTTGTAAAGTGAGTAGGATTGAGGAATTGTTGTGTTGATGGGCCCACGACATTGTTCGTGAAAGCCCTGTGACATCCACGTCACAGATCTGTGACCTTTCGATTTTCATCTTCCCACAGTTCGATCAATCGAACTTCTATCTCAAATCAATCTTGAGAGATCGATCGAACTTATCTTTTTCAGTTTCTCAGACCGATCGAAGTTTTGAGATCGATCTCACATTTTTTGTGATCGATCGAACTTCACATATTTCACACACACGTTCTATGCATCTTATCTTGTGTCCTTGCTATCTCATTCATGCCCAATGCTTATGATATTCCACATTGGATGCATTTCATACTCATATTGCTTAGCATGTTCACCTCCTGTCACTTGTATAGATTCATGTCATATATGTTTTGTTTATCTTATTTGACATGCATGTTTCTATTTTGTACTTTCAATTCTTTATTCTGGCACTGACTCCCCTTGCAAGTTTTAAATTATTTTTCAGGCCATGACTAAGCACAAAACTATTGCCAAGAGGCAACACGGGCTTCAGAGATGTATCAGACCTAGGATAGAAGAGCCAGCAGAGCCCTCTTATATACAAGAGGAGCCATTAGAGCCTACTCCACCTTAGTCACCTTCTCATGAGGCTGAGGCTGATCATATTCCATCTGCTTCTGAGGCTCAGCCTGCATTTACACCATCTCCAGCTCCATCATAGGCTGAGGCTGAGCATTCACCATTACCATCTCCACCACACCAGCCAGCTCAGCCAGCTCAAAAGCGTGACAGGCATGCGCCTAGATATGCACATATGACAGTGGACCATGAGTTAGTTTTCGACACAGATTTCTTCTCCAGATCGGTGCTGACCCGATCAGCTTATGATGATATTATCCAGAGGGGCCTTGCAGCTATTCTTGCCCCAGTTACTGAGCCAGTCTACTCGCGTCTAGTACGGATGTTCTTCCAGAACCTCCGACCGTCCCCGTCGTACCATGACAGAGCTAGTCACTACCATAGATGGCCATCAGATTTCTATTGCTGTGGACACACTAGCCAAATCATGCCATTGTCCACACCGATGCCCTCAAGAGCTACAAGAGCTTTATCCTAGGCTATACAGGCCTTCTTATGCTGACATGGCAATATTTCTGATAGGTCTCCATGCCGATGGTGAGACTTTCGCCACCCACACTTATCTTCCAGATGACCTAAGGTTCTTTGATTCCGTTCTCTTTTGGAACATATATATGGCCGGGCACAAGATTCAGCGGCGAGGAGACTATCTGACAGCCCTCTACGCATTTTATACAGGCCACTGGGTATCTATCCCCATGCTCATCTGGAGCATGATGAGGAAGCTCTTCGATGAATATATCAGCAATGAAAAGCCCAGAAGGGCTAAGTCTCTCCTATTTGGCCACCTCATCACCCAAATACTGATTGATTAGCATTATCCTTTCCATCCTCATGAGCACCCTGAGAGAGATTCCTGTCACTTCTTGAAGAAGGACTGGGATAAGAGCTACAATGCTATTATCACCAGACTGCAAGACCACGCAATAGTGGCTGCAGAGGAGCTCGAGGCTGAGGAGGCAGAGACAATAGCAGAGGCAGCAGCAGTAGACCCCGCAGCGGACGATGTACCAGTAGGTCTAGCTGCCGAGCATATAGACATTGATTTAGAGCAACCTGCAGATGACGCAGAACAGCACTCTCCAGTTGGGTCGCTAGTACACGAAGAGGAGCAGACTCAGGATCTTTCTTCTGATTTATCTGTACCTGAGGCTCCTAGTCAGACCCCTGGCTTTGGAGAGCATCTTCAGGCTCTTGAGGATGCAGTGGTTACTATCAGAGCTGATACTGCAGCCATTCAAGCCGATGTTGTAGCCCACCGAGCTGATTTTGCTATATTTCGCACGGATGTCATGACTGCACTCCGAGACTTATCTCACGATATCCGCGGAGCTCGCCCTGCCCGTCCTGCCTCGTCCACCTGAGATTTCCAGTTTCTTTTATCTTTTCATACTATACCTCTGTGATCTATACTTCATTTTTGTCACTGTATATTGTTTGCAGCCGGATATGTCGGCTTTGCTCTTTTGATGTACTATATACTTTATTTTCTTTATATATGTTTTTGCTATGGATGTCATCTATTATGTTTTCATATCTATCTTTTTGACTCCATCAGGTGCATCACAGTGACTACAGTGAGAGAGAATGCTATATAATTTTTAGGACCACCCTTATACCTCTCTCACTGTTTTATTTCATTTACACTTGCATGTCCACTGTGCACTGATTATCCCTTTTTGTTATCTGATGAGTTTATACGAGTGCCAAATTTCAGGACCACAGTTAGTCCCAAGTTTGGGGGGGCCATGCCACTCACTTTAGATACTTCAGTCCTAGCCATTCTTTGCCTTAATTGCACCGGTATACTCTTTCATTTTGTTCTCTTTGGACATTGAGGACATTATGCCGTTTAAGTTTGGACGTAATGGTGTATGTTACAGTGTTTGCTTTTAAATTCAAAATTTTGAGCATAACTTGTGTATTTGAGAGATTTTCTATGATTGGTCCATATTAGCGATGATTTTGATCTTTTGAGGACTATATTGCTTAAAATTTAAAAATTGCTTGACTTGAGAGTCCAATACTCCTTGTATGCCTTATGGATGCTATTTATGAGTAAATTTTTTGAAAGATTGATATCTTGCAAACACTTGTGGTCCACATCATCTTGATCTTGTGATTGTTTTGAGATTCACTTTAGAATTCTACACTAGCACCGGCGCACACTAGCATTCATTTGTGGGGTACATGCTTTATTGATTATTGAATTGGTTGTATACCAATTGAGCTAATAGTGCATTGAAAGTTTTCATTCTTGATAAAGATGGATAACAACCCCTTTTCACTAAGTAGCCGGGATTCTAGCCTCATCAAGCACTGAACTTCTCGTGACGAAAGGTGGAGGGCCCAAACTCTAGGTTAATAATTGAATATAAAAATAATAATAATAATAATAATAATAATAAAGAAAAAGTTGCAAAAGTAATAAAAAAGTGAGGACTTCTCCCAAAAGGTGAGAAATGGGAAATGATTAGATGGAGGTTGTCTTGATTTGTAGCCTAGTTGATTTGAGCTTGTAAGTTCGTAGGGGTGTTTGAACGCCTAATGCCCTAAAGCCATCTGGTTTGGGAGTCATTGACCTAACACTCAATCTCATGGATCACTAGAAAGCTTAATAGATCAACACATTGCACTATACTTCCATCTTTGATCCTATAAAAAATAAAAATAAAAAAATAAAAATAAATAAAAAAAAATTGAATGAAAAGAATAAGCGTATCTAGAACAATAAAGCTTTAATAAAAAGGTCCACTTTTTGTCTTGATGATCGGTACTAGATTTGTGTGCTAGTTTGAGGGTAAGGATATGATTAATTCTTCAGTTTTATTTAGCTTAGATAGCAACATATTTGATGCTGGTCCACTCAAAAAGGATTCTAGAGTTGTTTTGATTTGCATGATCATTTTCTTGATGTGTGGAGGACCATATTTGCTTGCTTGATGTTGAAATTTTGGAAGATTGTTTAGAAATGTTTGAAAAATTGCATACTTGAGATAGTTTTCTCCTAATGCTTGTTAGCAATATTGGTGTCTCTTTTGTGAGAATGAGCTTAATGTTTGTGGGTATCATTTCTGGAAATCCTCACGAGGCTTCACTTGTCCACTAGGGGTAACCTAACGAGGCCGCTTGATAAACGCCAAAATAATGTAATGAATGTGCGGTTCAAGAAAAGCCTTTTTAGTCAAGTTTAAATTTATACAAACCACTACCACTACTACTACTAACATAGCAAGAGTGAGTAGGGATCATCCCAAGGGATTGTACGTGTTGGAAGTTAACTTCGACTTTAATGTACTAATTGATTGCAAAGAGAGAGATTGGTTGATTAAACTAAGATGTAAGGAAATTAAAATGCAATTAAAATAAACTAAGTTGAGTTAGGGATTTAAGAGATATGAAGAGAGGACTTAGGGTGTTGGAATAACCACTAAGCTCATGTAATTAACCACTTGCTTTCCATTAATGGGAAATACATTGTTGTGAACAAAATGTGACTACCAATTGCAATATTAAGCATGACCATCAAATTCATTCTATGAATTGTCTACTTGACCAACAAATAAACTAAATGTAGAACAACCGATCAAATCTAAGCATGGCCCATCAAAATAGTCACAATTGTAGCACACATTAATCTAGATAATCATGGAATTTACAATAATAAGTCATGGAATATCAAATCAAGTATAGATTGTCTACCTACCTACAAGCATGAATTAAATTGTAGAACAACCCATCAAGTATAAGTATAATCCATCAAATTAATTGGCAAACCCATATAATAAAAACCCATGTCCAGCCATCACTAAATCCTTAATTAATTACACATAGACATGCAACTAATATAGAGAATCTAGTATAAAGATCAATTCCCCAAATAATCACACATAAGACAACATGTAATTAAAATAAAAAATCATAAGGAAGAATTAAACCATATGAATCATGTGAGATATAATTCATAATTTAATCACGCATAGACATATAAATAAACTAGAGAATTAATAGGAAGAATTAAACCATAGAAATTATAGAAATATACCAAGATTCATTAAATTCACAAGACTAGAACACTAATCACAACAATATATATAGAAATCCCCAAAAATATAAATACAAGGGTTTAGATTACACAAGACTTAGGGCATATCCAAGCCCTAAGTGTAGATCTAGCCAATCATGGAGGAGGTAGATGTGGTCATGGAACCCTCAAGGGTAAGCTCCAAACATGGCTCCATCTTCTTCTTCTTCTTTTTTGAAGCTCTAGAGAGAGAGAGAGAGTGGATCTAGAGATGGGTTCTTGAGATGAGCCTCCACTTCTCTCTTTTCTTCTAACCCTAATCTCTAACTTTTATGGAGAGAGAAATTAAAATTACAATGTAAAAATAAAATGATAAAAAACTTCTTTACAAAATGGGTCACTTCCTTTTATATAGAAGGTCCTTTTCTTAGTCACTAAGTCAGGAATATAGCTCCAAAAATATCTAATCCCGTACTATGTGGTAGGTGGGAGTTTTGGGCGCGCACGGGAATAAGATAGCTTGCTGCCAACAAAAGTTCGATCGATCAGACTTTTTTTTTTTTATCGATCAGAGAAAAGTTCGATCGATCCAACTTTTATTTTCGATTAATCCAACTTCGATCGATCTCAGAAAAAGCGATCAATCTCAGAAAAAGTTGGAACGATCTAACTTGGCAGTTTTTCAGCATTAGCCTCCTTTTGCTCCAAATCAGCTTCCTTTTGCTCTGGATCCTCACTAAGACTTAGTTTGACTCCAAAAAGGCCTTAAGAAACCATTTTTAGCCCATTTTAACATTATTGACCAGAAATAGACAAAAACACAAATAAGTACTAAAACAAAAAATAAGATAGATAAAGGTCCTAGAACACTCAAGCTTAAAGGGTTTAAAAGCGCACTTTTCAGCGCTCATCACACCCCCAAACTTAAATATTGCTAGTCCCTAGCAATAAACTACAAAGTAAGAAATGAACAACTAATTAAACAACTACAAACTAGAAAGCAATAAAATGATAACGCCACTTTCGTAGGGAACACAATTGCACTTAGCACATGCAACAAGCCTTTTAAACCCCTAGGTTACCCTTAGTGGACGAGTGAAGTCTCGTGAGGGTTTTCAGAAATGATACCTACAAACATTAAGCTCATTCTTACAAAAGAGACACCAATACTGCAAACAAGCATTGGGAGAAATCTACCTCAAGTATGTAATTTTTCAAACATTTGTAAGCAATCTCCCAAAATATCAACATCAAGCAAGCACATATGGTCCTCTACACATCAAGAAAATGATCAGGTAAATCAAAACAACTTTAGAATTCTTTTTGAGTGGACCGGTATCAAATATGTTGCTATCTAAGCCAACTAAAGAATTAATCACATCATTACGCTCAAATTAGCACATAAATCTAGTACCGATCATCAAGACAAAAAGTGGACCTTTTTATTAAAGCTTTATTATTCTAGATGCGCTTATTCTTTTCATTCGATTTTTTTTTTTTTTTTAAAAGGATC